CCCAGCTACGGACACTTCGTACATACCAACCTGCAGAAGCTTTCTGGCGTTCCCTCTATGACACTATGCAGGAGATCCGCTCGGAGGTGCCAGCATATTTCAGTAGACAGCATTACACCGCATCGGCCATCGATAGACTTTTTGTCAGTACACCAGAGCATTACCTGATCGCCACGGACATCCACCTCTCTGTTGCTATGGACCCAGTGGAGATGGCCCAGTCACGCTTGAGCGACCACTCCATCATCCACGCCTCCTTCAGAGCCAAGCAGAACATCCCAGAGGAGGCGCAGCGCATCCCAGTTGTGGTCTTCACGGACGAGCGTTACAAGATCATACTCGACAGCCTCATCAACGCGAGTGGACTGGAAAGGTTCTCGCCTGTGCTGAAGTGGACGTACATGAAACAGCTCATGCTTGAGGCCGCTCGTCAAACTCGAGATGAGCTTCAGCGGCTACCATATCGACCTGGCGACAAACGTGCACGAGGTGGCCGCAACATTACTCTCCGCAGTATTTCTAGAGCCGTGTGGAAGCAGGACCTACAGCAAGCAGCCCTTCTGGTATCAACCACCGAGGATGGCAAGCGCTTTCTCCACATCGATGAGGGTGGTGTCAGACTCCAGAACGCGGACACCTTTCGCGTCCTCTTCCGCTCACTACACGATGCGGAACTTGAGGCTATGCAGTTACGTGCTGCCCGAGCTGCACAAGCGGCGCAACGAGCTGGAGACCAACCTGCAGCTGAAGCGCATTTTCGTCAACTGCGTGCTGGTCGCCGTAGGGCCTTCCTCTGGAAACCGAAGGGCCGCAGGATGGTGCTGGCAGGTATCCGTCCTGAACACTCTCTAGAGAACCCCGAGGCCCCTGTCGTTCGAGGCCCCACAGAAGTTCATGAAGCTCTTGCTGCCTGCTGGGGGAAGGTTTTCCGCTACAAATCGGCCGACAAAAACAAAATCGTGGCTCACCTGGACAGAGTCTACCCGTCGGCCCCAGTGGTCCCGATCCCGATCCCGAGTGTTGATGACCTCAGGGCTACACTCAAACGTGTTCGTCACTCTTCGCCAGGTCCAGATAGGTTACCATATCGGGCATGGATGGTAGCCGAAGAGCAACTGTACACCCTCCACGGCCTGATGCTGCACCTCTTCGCAGGTGACTACGTTCCCGAGGATCTGAACGATTCCCTGTTCGCGTTCCTTCCCAAAGGTTCTGAGCCCCTAGATGCTTACGAATGTATCAGAAAGCCCTCTCAAATTAGACCGCTGTCGCTACGTAATTCGGATTCCAAGATTTTGGCCTCAGCGGCCAACCATAGAATCAAGGCCCTGGTCCAATCTCGGACCCATGTCGCCCAACAAGGTTTTGTTCCTGGCCGCAATTTTGTCGGGAATATTATTCGTTTAGATAGCGCAGCGCGTAGAATGAGTGTACGGATGAATGCAGACGCACACGCCCCAGTGTTTGTCGCATTCGACATAGCTGCAGCCTTCCCAAGCCTCGGGCACGATTGGCTCTGGGCAGTTTTAGCTCGATCTGGCCTTCCGCAAGGCTACCAGAAATTCACCGGCTCCCTGTATTTTGGGCCCCGCAGTTTCGCCTCTGTCCAGGGATCAAAACAGTTTCTCTTTTACCTGCAGTCTGGAGTCATGCAAGGGTGCCCTCTTTCAGGCTCGGTCTGGGCTCTAGCAATGGACCCCATCCTGAGATGTCTGGTTGAGCAAGCCGCTGATCCTTCTCTGGGGGACTGGCGCGGGGAGGTGGGTGGGTGTGCGGACGACACAGGCCTTGCTCAACCTAAACTCGAGGACCTATGCCGCGTCGCTCCAGTCTTTCAGGATGCAGAAGAGCTTGCTAAGCTCCGCCTCCAGACTTCCAAAACTGTCATCGTCCCTCTCTGGACAGAGCTCTCAGAGGCAGTCGTAGCACGAATTCGGGGATTCCTGCGCGAGCATATTCCCCAATGGACCAATATGAAGATCGCTTCCCACACCAAATACCTTGGGGTCCAGTTAGGGCCCGGGGCGTCGGAGGCGCTTGTGTGGAAGGAAGCGGTCGCCAAGTGGTGGGCTCGTTCGTTTGACATTCCCAAATCCGAGAGCCCCACCAGTGTCAGTCTGCTGCTATACAACAGTACTGCATTATCTACTTTAAGCTACCTTGCCCAACTTTTCCCGATGGATCGCGAAGCCCTCCTGAAGGAAAAATTTGCCATCCACAAAGTCCTTCGGCTTCCACCCAGCACGTTTCGCAAAGCAGATGTTTTCTCTTTCACGGGACACGGTTTAGTGGCCCCACAGTCCGCCCTGATCCTAGGAGCGGCTAGTATGTGGCGCTGCTCCACTCTCACGATCACTGACTGGGCAGCAGAGCTCGACAGGTGGCGCGAAACGGCGGCGCTGACCTGCCCCGTCGTTGACTGGATCAAAGGAGAGTGGAGCGCCCCCTGCTGGATCCAAAAGCAGGGGATCGCCCAGCGTTTCGCAGATTTAGTGAATCGCCCACCCCGCCGAGGCATCCCAATTGTCCAGTGGAGAGCCTCGCATGCAGCAGGCCGCATGGAAACCCGTGCGGCGCAAGCGGTGGGCAAGAAGCCCAAGCTCCAGCGTACGATCTCCTCCTTCCTCCGCCCCAATCTCTTCCCCAATAAATTTGAAGTCACTATCTCCAAGCGTCTGAACGCTTGGGGTCTTGCTGATAGCATCGTGGGCGGGGCGGCGGAGCGGCGGGGGGACTGTCTTGCAACGATTAAGAAGTTCAAACCTGCATGGCAGTGGTCAATCCTTAAGACCCTCGCAGGCGGCTGGACTACCAGCCATCGAATCCACGTGCGCGGGATCGTCAATTGCCTTTTTGGGTGCGCCCAGACTGACTCCATTGCCCATTATTTTTCTTGCCCCGTCCTCCGTTCCCTCGTCGGCCTCCCCTCCAACCCATTGACTTTCCTCGGCCTAGCGGCCGACAACGAATACAATTGTGAGAGCTGCACGTTCTCGCGCGCTGATGCGCTGCGTTTGGCCGTGTTGGCATTCCATACTTACCATAAGGCGAAAGCTGCGGTGACCCATGGGGACCAGCTCACGCCAAGCCAACAGCGAGCCGCCTTCGCAGCAGCACAGCACGCCACTGACATCTAAAGCGGCTGACGATGCGTGCGAACTGGCTCGCCTCAGGTACGGTCGATCATCATCATCATCATCATCATCATCATCATCATCATCATCATCATCATCAGCATCAACATCAGCATCAGCAGCAGCAGCAGCAGCAGCAGCATCATCGCCACCGCCATCATCATCATCATCATCATCATCAGCAGCAGCATCATCATCATCATCACCGTCATCATGACCTCCATCGTCGCCACCATCGCCGCCATCATCACCATCACCGCCATCAGCTTCGGCACGCCGCCACGCGTTTCGTGCCCCCACCGGGGGTCCCACCGAAAGCCCGAGTGGCTGCGTTCGCATGCGCCCACCGCACCCATGTCGGCACACCCCTCACACGATCCGTGTCTCCGTAGACAATTCCGCAGAAGGCCCGAGCGACTGCATCCGCATGCGCCCACCGCGCCCATGTCGGCACACCCACTGCACGCTTCGTGGCCCCATATGCAGCTCCACCGACGGAACCAGTGGCTGCGTTCACATGCGCTCACGCACTTATTTCAGCCCACCCTCACACGCTTCGTGGCCCCATAGACAGCTCCACCGACGGCCCCAGCGGCTGCGTTCGCATGCACCCACTGCACCCATGCCGGCACGCCCCGCGCACGTTTCGCGGCCCCGCAAAAAGTTCCACCGTCGGTTCCTGTGGCCGCGGTCGCGTGCGCCCGCCGCGCACATGTCGGTACACGCCCCGTGCGTTTCGTGGCCCCACAGGGGGCTCCACCGACAGCCCCAGTTGCTGCTTTCGCATGAGCCCACCGCACCCGTTTTAGCACACTCTCACACGCGTCGCGGCCCGATACAGGAGCTCCACCGACGGACCCAGCGGTTGCGTTCGCATGCGCCCGCAGCACCTGTTTCGGTACGCGTCTCAGACGCTTCGTGGCCCCAAAAGGCACTCCACCGCATGTCTGCATGCCAGCGTCCGCGTCCGCCCGTCGCGCCCATGTCGGCACACCCTCGCGCGTTTCGCGGCCCCATAGGCAGTTCCGCCGACTGCCCCAGTGGCTGCGTCCGCATGCGCCCACCGCGCTCAATCGGGCACGCACATCGCGCGTTTCGCGGTCACGCAGGCAGCCCGACCGACGGCCACAGTGGCTAGATTCGCATGAACCCGTTGCATTCATGCTGGCACACCTTCACACGCTTCGCGGCCCAAGAGGGGGCTCCACCGACGGACCCAGTGGCTGCGTTCGCATGCGCCCGCCGCACGAATTTCGGCGCGCCTCTCACACGTTCCGCGGCCCAATGACGGCCCCAGTGGCTGCATTCGCATGGGTCCACCGCACCCATTTTGGCACACCCTCCTACGCTTCGCGGCCCGATAAGGGGACTCCATCGTGGACCCAGTGGCTGCGTTCGCATGCGCCCAACGCAACTATGTCGGTGCACCCCTCACACGTTCCGTGGCCCCCTAGTGGGCTCCACCAACAACCCCAGCGGCTGCGCCCGCATTCGCCCACTGCACCCATTGTGGCACACCCCTCACACACTTCGCGGCCCAATAGGGAGCCCCACCGACGGCCCCAGTGGCTGCGTGTGCATGCGCCCACCGCACCCATTCCGGCACGCCCCTCACACGTTTCGTGGCCCCACAGGGAATTCCACGGACTGACCCAATGGTGGTGTTGCTCTCGCATGCACCCACCGCACCCAGTCTGGCACACACCTCACAAGCTTCGTGGCCCCATAGGGGCTGCGTTCGCATGCGCCCATCACACCTATTTCGGCACGCCCATCGCGCGCTTCGTGGCCCCATGGGGAGCTCCATCGATGGCACAAGTGGCTGCATTCGCATGCGCCCACAACGCAAATTTTGGCACGCCCTTCGCACGTTCCGCGGCCCCGCCAGCTGTGGCTTCAGCTCGGCCCCATGCGGGGCCAATTCGTTTTCGGGCCCTCGTGGGGGCACAGTGTCCCGTTCGCGCCTCATGCTTCGGCGCGCGTGCGCCCTTGCGGCCCAGCACCCAGGTCCGTGAGGGCCTGTTGTGCAGTCTTCATCACGCGGCATCTCGATGTCGCCCAATATTGTCCCCTTTGGAGTTCACGTATTTGTTGTTTGTTCCGGCGATTCAAACGCTCTGCGCTGCGCCTCCCAGAGAGCCTCACGCAGTTGCACAGCGAGGGTCTCCCGTCTGCTGCTACCGCCGCCCATTGCTGCATTTTTCCCACAAGACGAAATAAGTGGGCCCACCGTGGTGGCTTATCTTATCATTACCCCTCTTCTTTTCCATCCGCCTCCTCCTCCTCCTCCTCCTCCTCCTCCTCTGTCTCCTCCTCCTCTTCCGCCTCTTCCGCCTCATCCGGACCCCCCAACAAAAAAACATTAGGAAATCTGTCGGGAGGAGAAAGAAGGCAGGTTCACCTTGCCTGGGGCTTCTGCAGCCAGCCAGTTCACAGGGGGGCCAGACTAGGGCGCGGGGGAGTTCGCTTCGCGCGGCGGCGGGACATCCCTTCCGCATTGCTTTTATCTCCCCCCGCGTGCTCCTCCTTTTCTCCTCCTCCTCCTGCTGCTCCTCCTCCTCCTCCTCCTCATCCTCCTCCGTGACGTGTTCGTTCTGCGCATGGTCATGGATGTTGTCCGGTTGGTGTCCGGTGATTAACCAATTTGTTCCCAAGGAGGATGAGCGGCAGAATGGGTATATGTGAGGTGTGGGGGTTGGGGACCGTTACCGCCATGACTACTCTGTTCGTCGTATTGGGATTTTGATTGAAATGTAGCAGCCTGGATTTGCCAAAGAGATCCTGTCCACGTAAACCCAGCTGGACCGCATCTGCAACGAACCGTACCGACATCATTGTTGGGGCAGCACTGTTGTTGGTGAGTGTCTCTGGGCATATACTGGTGAAGGCTAGGCCCAGTCACTCCATCCTATTGAGCTCGCTCGCATCCCTGCCTGGCTTGCCTCCCACCTCACCTTTCAATCCGAGCTGAGTGTTCCCTGTCAGATGTTGATCGTAAGGATCCAGGCATGGAACAATTTGATTTGTCTGTCGCGAATGTTCGAAGCGGTTCGACAAACGAAGGAAGGAACAACGCGCCATTCTTCAGGCCAGCGAGGTTGATGGGTAAATCAATTACGTTCCCATGGGTTTGCGAACGACCTGTAATCCTGATTTCTTTGTTTGTCCATTGCATTGTCTTTCTACCCAAAGTTTGCTCAGGGACGTTCACATGCCATTCGCTCCTTCGACGCGGTGAACACTTCCAGGCGTTGCAGGAGTCCTGGCTAGCCCAGCTGGATATTGAAGGAATTTCGGAGGTTGTTCCTGGACACCTGCACTCGCGCGTTCGGGAAAGCATGCAGCGCAGCAGGATATTCTGGAGGCCCCTCCACAGGCGGGCTTGTCTTGAGAACATATTGAGGACAAATGGGGACCCCTGTGGTTCAATTGGTGAATTTACTTGAGTCTTGGCTGCATTTTGGAAACGTGTGCGTGGTGTCCATCATTCTGACCGTTCGCCCTGGCCTGACTATGAAGACCGTCGTGCCGACCTCTCGTTTTGGGGATGCCGACGATTGGCGGATTCCACATGGTGACTTCTCACGGACTCCATGGCTTCATCAGATGGGTGTTGATACTATTGCTGGAAGTCCCCACTGCAATCGGCATGGACAAGATGGGTGCAGGGATGCTTTGTTTCAATGAAATAAATCTGCGCCTCTCCGCACCACCATCCTGCCGCCCTTGTTATTGCTACTGTTGTACTGACTGGTCATCTGCAGCCACTCAGATTCGAGACGTACAGGAAATAGGAGCGAGCTAGCTCGCGCGCTCGCCGAGGGGTCGTCCCCTCGTCGTCGTCGTGTCGTCGGCCGGCCGGCCTCCTCCCTACCACACATCTCTCTCTCTCTCTCTCTCTCTCTCTCTCTCTCTCTTATCCGCATAACGGAACTTTACTTCCAAGCCATGGCCTTGTCGAAGCCCCCTGAGCTTTCCTCGCGAAACCTATCTTCAGGGGAACAGGAGACTAATATCCAGGCAAAAAGCTGGTTATCAGCCGAAACGGCGGCTCAGCCGTTGGCTTCGCTGGGGCAAGGACCAAAGGAAGGATCGCTCGGAGGAAGGAAACAACAATTGTCCCGAGCGCATAACTAAGGACGGCGCCCCGGGGGGGCGACCCCCTCCTCTCAACATTCCCAGAAGGCCAGTGTCGGAGTCGGTGTTTGATTCGACAGAGGGAGATTCCCCGGTGGATCATCAGCTAAAAGAGAGTTCAAACGCCAGGCAGGGAGCCTGGTCCAGCCAGTGCCACCCACAGAAGGCCATCAAGGATCGTTTGAGCACACTCGAGCCCGATAATATCAGTCCGTACAAGCTACGATGAAGAGAGCCCGCCGGGAATTGCTCCCACCAGCTCAGCAGGCGGGGGCCGCATCCTCGGCGGACAAGTAACACAGTCGGACGGGATTTCTAAAGACCGATCGGGGTTAAATGTTACGATGTGCTGAAGGGTCGGGTTGCAGCTCGTGAGTGGGTACTCAGTAGAATGCGCCCAGCGCGTTCCCCACGCATCACAGCGAAGTACTGCCTAAGAATGGCCATCGAATACTTGGTCACGAGGCGGCTGCATGCGACGACCATCGCGAACGTATCGTGTTCTGCTCTCTTCGACTGGTGCAGAGCGTCATTTGTTGAACGTGAATCTCATTCCATGCTTGAGATTCCGCTCCTGTTGCCTGACAGCGTCCATGAGCGAGCCAGGCGGGGGAAATGGGAGACGTGCTCCCACGCCACCGATCTCCGAAAGCTCTACGCGCTACTGAATGCTGGCGCATTCCTCCCCTCGGGGGAGAAATGGGGCATGAGGGCCAAGACAGACCAGAAGGCGAAGACTAAAAGTTTTGCCGAAGGGGTCTACGCCCACCGCGACACCGAGCACATTCATGTGCTTCATCAGCAGTGCAGCCACAGCGCGGAGCTCTGGAACGACGGGAATCTGGTAACCATGGACTTCAAGATCACTACCCCGTCGGCGGATGCAGGAGGTTTCCTACCCATAGACACGGAAACAAGAGGGAGGAAACAGTACGTATGCGACAAGCCTGAATCCATAGTTTGCCTTTCGCTAAGACTCTGCTTCATGACGCCTAGCCAAGCCAATGAGCGTCAAATTTGGGTCTCCCATCCGCATCAATCCTGCCACTTCGAAGTGGACTATAAGGCGCTGGTAGACCCTCCCCCCGATCCAGAGGAAGGGGCTCCGGCGTGGCAATTCGAAAACGCCATGGAAGAGGAGATGTTCAAACGCGAGCCCCGCGCCGATTTTCAAAAGGCTGGAGTGCGGAGAATGGTGCGACGAGGACTCTTCCAGTCGGAGAAACAAAAAGAAATCGTGTCCGAGGTGGACCAACTGAGGAGGAAGCACGCGCGGTTTCTCAACGTAGAAGACTGGCCGTTCTGTGAACTGTGCTCCGATTCTCTGATTACTGAACATTTCGAAGAACCGATCCTCGTGGCCCATGGCCTTCAGGACATCATGACTCCCCTCGCACAGGCTGGGCTGCCACGTGAACGCCCAGATCTGCGAACGATGAAGATGGACATGTCCATGCCCAGGATCTCGGACCATGATTGGAAGCTCTTCCGCGAAAAGAAGAAGGAATAATAATTCACAGGAAGACCTGATCAACCTGCTGTGGGCCACGTCCCAGGCAGCGTCGAACCCGAGGGGCCGCCGAGGTCCAAAAGCGTCGTTCGCCGTGGAAACCACGAGGCCATGCTCGCGGAAGCGGCAAAGAACTGGCGCGAATCTCAATCGGGGGGACGACGCTCAGGTTGGGGCAACGTTGGGCATGCTGGCTTTGACCACTCATTCACTGCGGACCGCCAGCGGCCGCGCTTTGAATTCCCCGAGGGGGTGCCCGCTGGCCAACGGCGAGACCCCAGAGTGGGGGCCCCAGACTTCCAGCCCCCACCTCTACCGGAGGATGCTTTCCTATTCATGCGCCGCAACAGCGTAACAGCATCGCCTGCGGCGTCTTTGATACAGCAAGTCTGGATTTGCCCAACACTTGGTTGTTTCAGGACCACCAAGGCAGCTGTTTCTCAAGCTGCGAAAATTCACTTGGTGCGTAAATGCTGCCATTGCAAACAGAAGACAGCTGTGCACCTGGACCGATGCCCCCCGAGGCATCGGGTCTACAGCCGCTGGGCAGACGCCCGCGGCGGAAAAGCACCAGCCGACGTCATCGAATACGAGAAGGAACGATACGAGAGGTAGTGCAGGAACCAGATCAGCGAGGTCGACCTGGACGAGAGTTCGGATGACCCTGTGTCCGACCAAGGGTACGAGTCAAGGCAGCGCGCGGGATCCTGCGAAGACAGCCATGCTGAGGACTCGTCAGGAGAAGAAGAAGGGGTAGCAGATGCGGTCGGCCATGCTGACGTCGCAGTGATTCAAATCGACCCCGAAACAAGACCGCATGTTGCCGGACAGGGATCTCCATTCGGCATGGAGTACTTCCTGATGGAGGGTACATTGCCACTTCTTAAAAACAAGCAGCTATCGGAAGAAGAATGCAGGGGGCTCTGTCCACGTTGCGAGTGTGTAAAGGACCTCGAGGATCTTGGACTGGAGCACGAGGGGCTAACTCACGACGGTTTCCTCGGTCAGGGAAGGCGTAGCCTTCTCTTGGCGACGACCAGGTTCAAACGGGATCACCTGTCAGCAATATCCCCGGCACGAGCTCGTCTCGTTGACGAACTGCACAACAGCGGGCCCGTATTGGCAAGTCAACGTCTGGGCCGTGCGCTGATCAGCGACAGGCTGTCTGCTTATGCTGACTGCGTGGCCGATCCGCTCTTGTCGACGTTTATTTCCAGAAGAGCGCGCCAGGGTGGATAATTATTTGAGGGCCCGATACCACGCAATCGAGAGCGAAAGCTTGCCTGGGCCAGACCATGCTCTGGTGCCTATGTACCCTCATATGCGCCCCAAGCTTTGCGCTATCGCGAGTGAGGTGGGGCGCGAAGAGGCTCTGCGATTGGGCGGGCTGGTGCTCCACCTTCTCCGTCACAGGTCAGCCCATGTGCTGAGCTCGGGAGGATGGGTAGACGCGGATGTGCTGATGCGAATGCTCACAAACGTTAGCTATGGTCGCCCGTGGGCATGGTTGATGCACGCCATCTCCGTCCTTAGCCCAAAGGACGTGCGGATAATGGGAGTAGAGATGGACGCGGCAGACACTGGCCCAACATCCCGCCCCATGGACTGGGATGAGAGATTTGCCGTTGTCGTTCGCAAAGGGGTCGGAGCGTCTGAAGTCGATGGCGATGCAGACGCAGCCCTCGCTGACAGCGATGAGGAGCAGATATTTGTGGCCCCCGCCATTCGCTCGCTCCTCGTCAGAGCTGTGTATGGCGATTCACTAAGAATCATCAGTCCGCATAGGCGGAAGTCGCGGCATGACCCCAACATGAGCGAGAAATGCGGAGCACTTGTATTGCCATTGACCGCCGCGGACGTTTGGCATAGTCAGGGAGGCGAAGTGGCCCCGTTGCACGACGAAGCTACGGGTCTGCGTCAGTACGGAACTGTAGTTTTTACTGTCGCCTTGCTTCCGCATGCGTCAAAGATCCATGATCTAGATGCGCTGGAGGAGGTAAATGGGCCACTGTGCTATCAAGAAGTCAGAGAACTGGTTCAGCGAGACGTCTGGGGAGCTCGCCTTGAACAGGCCGTTAACTTTACAACCTTCCTCCACCAGGATGGCATGTAGAGGGACTTCGACGGGGGTACCAACAAGTCCGTGCTTGACTTCAACCCGTCCATTATCGAAAGCAAATACCTGGCCACTCTGAGCTCCAGGCACATTGAGGCCAATCCGCATTGGATTCTGCCGACAGGCCAAATATTCACGGAAAAGCTTCCAGACTGGAGCAATATTTGGCAGATCTTTGCGATAACGGAGGCGCCGAATGACAAAATCTCGTGGCACGTCATGTGCGACCGGCGCCTGACCACACTACAGGCCCCCCTCGCCCGTGAGACAGGCTGCGTCGACGTCCTAGAGCCCAATCAGTTGATAAGATCCGGCCGCCATGAGGACCGGCTCGACACTGTGCTATGGGGGGGCAGTCAGGCAGCCCCCGAAGTGGGAGGGCGACGTTTGCTTCGTCTGCCATCTGGGGCACAAGTCCAGATATGGCATGATGGCACGCCCAGAGTGCCAAGACGAGATTTTTTATTAGGCGACTCCGTGGCAACCCAACAGAGTCCGTTCTGCAATGGGCTGGAGGAACGCCGGTATGCTCAGAGATCCGAGGCCCGCCACAACGCTCCATGAACGCGGCGGTAGGATGAATAAACAAAAGACAAGAGCGGTCCAGATACAGAACTCAGATCGAACTCAGGCCCGCTGGCGAGAAAGCTGGAAGCAAGACAACTCGAGGGCGGCGCTGGCACGCTATTACGCCGCAGTGTCGGGTAAAACAGCTACCCTTTCAGCTGAAAGGTCGATGTTCGCCTGAGTTTCATCATCACCTAAGCGCAAACGCCCTGCCCATGTCAATAAGGCGCGCGAAGTCAAAGGCCACGCATTGGCACGCAGGTGGATGATGTACCAGCAGTACCGCGGCTGGCAACCTACTGGCTTCAACGCAACATGCCCATCTAGGAAATGGCGGCATATTTGTCCAGACAGGTGGATCAGACCGATTTTTGCACAGACATGGGCGTCCTCGACGTCTTCGACTGGGATACTACGGACCCCGATGCTCGCGAGAAGCACGATCCCAGTGCGGGATGGGGGGCCTGGTGCCACGATCATCGCCACGATATGCCGCAAACACTGAATGAACTTTGGCGTGACATGCAAGACGATATTGAAATCCACTGGCAACCGAAAGAAGAATTGGCCGGCATCGAGGAGGAAGAATAATGATAATAAGAACACCTTCAGAGGACAAGAGCGCGCCGCTCGGCCTCGGTCTGGCCGCCTGCCTCTGCCCATGGCAGACGTGGCAGGTCGCGCAGTCGGAAGTGGCGTGTTCGATCAGAAGATGCGCCGAGAGCACTTGGAGGACGCGCCATGCGCAAACGGGACAGATCCTGCGCCCCGCATCGCAGAACTCACAATGCTGACAACATGCAACCGATCCAGGTATACAGCATTAAGAGGGCGGCCGATGAGCTCGTTACATACTTCGCCGTCCATGACGAGCCGGAAGAGTACCACCAGGCGACTACCGTCGCCTCTTGCGAGGCAAAGATACGCCGCATGTGGTACGAGCCGCCCGAATTCTCCGTCTACGATCCAGATATGTACGATATGAAGACGAAATGGATGTCGGAACAAGTCTACAGGGTGGCCGTTGAGCTAACCGGAGATTTCGACTGGACAGAGATCGACGGAGCGACTGCGTACGCGGGCGCCATGGGTTTTTCATTTCGAAGAAGTCGTTCAGTACCGAACCGATTTGCTGCGCGAAATCAACCTCCTCAGGGCTCATCGTGAGATGCTGGAGCTGGTGTACAGAGATATCTACCAGCATCGAACAGACATGCCGCAAGTCTCCACTGATGCACGCAAGAACGAGGCACGCATGCAGTTCCTGCAGCAGTCGCAGGCGACGGCACTCAAGCGTGGCCTGCGGATGGCGCCCGACACTTTCCAACGCGCCGCCGTTGAACAGTGGCCGCTGCACGTGTACGAGGCTGCGGTGTATGCCCTGAATATGTGGCAACGGCACGGGGTGGCGACGCTAGAACCATAACAGGAGCGCCCCACCCCCCGACTGCCCATGGCACGAGAGGCACGGAGAAACCAACCACAGGCAACGACAGCCAGGGCGGCCCGCTCTGTCAGCCGCGAGCGCACCCTCAGTAGTTCCTCAGTACAGGAGGACAGGGCGGCCGCGTCCTCACGGAAGGGGCACGGCAAGGGCAGCTCCTCGAGCGGCGCCGCCCCGCCGCCCCCAGAGGCAGCAGAGACAGGGAGGGGCAAACGAGCCCGCGAGGAGGGGGGCGGCCGCGCGGCGCCCCCGCCTGCGGTGCGCCCGTGCTACTATACGGATATCCGCGGGTCGGCCCCGAGTGGTGCCGCTCCATCCGCGCCCCGGCACAATCTGCCCGAACCAGCTCCACGCCCATGGCGTGATCGGAGGCAAAGCCGACCCCCAGTAGACCGCGCCTGGAGTGCGTGGCGGGGCTTCTCCAGCCGAGCCAGGAGCAAGGGGCCGGGCAATGATGACCGCGGCAAGGGCGGTCATGGGAGCTGGGGCGATCGCTGCCACGACAACAGAGATTACCCATGGCGACGCGGCGACGGATGTAACTGGCGATAGCATCAGGCGCCCATGGCGCACCGGTGGCTAAACCAGCACAAACACCATACGCCCATGGCTAAATGGTGATTGCGACGTGGCGAGCTGGGCTGCTGACGGCTTTGAGAGCCTCGCGCCCGCGCCTGCCTGAATTTGGCGCCGTCGGAGACGTCAGGTCCCCATGGTGCTACGTCGGCCCTGACCGGCCGCTGCGGCCGGGCCGCCGCGGGGGGGAGTCGTTGCCATGCGCTCCTTGCCGCCGCATATGTACATATATGCATATCCTTAAACATTGAGCTGACCGTTCCCTAGCTGTTTGGGATCGGAGGGAAATAACGCGCGCGCGCCCCGCACTCTCTTTCGTTCCCTATCCGCTTAACGGACAGTCGAACCTCATACTTCTACGGCTTTCGCCGCTTTCTTGGCCGCCGTGGTCTCTCGGGAATCCTCGAGCCCAAGACGCTCCTTGGAACCTATGCTGAGAGCACCAAACTTACTACCTGTACATCCTGATGATGTTGGCCCTGTTGGGCTTAAGCTGAGTAAAGATGCCTCCTCCTCCTCCTCCTCCTCCTCCCTCCTCCTCCTCCTCCTCCTCCTCCTCCTCCTCCTCCTTCTCCTCCTCCTCCTCCTCCTCCTCCTCCTCCTCCTCCTCCTCCTCCTCCGTCCCTCCTCCCTCCTCCTCCTCCTGCTCCTCCTCCTCCTCCTCCTCCTCCTCCTCCTCCTCCTCCTCCTCCTCCTCCTCCTCCCTCTCCCTACACGGCGTCCACCCTTTCCCCCACCTTTACCCGTCCCCACATCCACGTCCTCGTGCTCTTCCGCCCCTCCCCGTCTTACGTCCTCCCTGTCCACTTCCCTCCTCCCTCCTCCCATTCGCCCGGCCAGCCGCCCGCCGCGGCCGCCATGCCTGGCGCCAGGGGCCCCAAGGAGCCCGCCCCAAGCGGGGCGGCCGCCTGGCGCGAGCAGGCGCAGCTCTGGCGGGCGCAGAAAGACCCCATCGACGACGTCGAGGGCGGCCTCGTCGTCGGCCTGCGGAGGCGAGGTGGGGAACGGGGCAGGGGTGCCGGAAGGAGGAGGAGCAGCAGGAGGGGGAAGGGGAGGGGGGGATGTCCAGGGGGGGAAGGAGGAGGAATAATGGGCAGAGGGGAAGGAGGACGAGCCCTCGAGGGGCAGAGCCCTTTTTTCAGGGACCAAGGAGGCCTCGGAGACCCTCTGAAGCGCCCACTGGGATAGCTGGGTGGACTGCCCAGCGATCGAGCTCCCTGAGAGGTGGTTCGGCGTTGGCGGAGATGGGGCGGAATTGCACGCGACCGAGGAGGAGCAGCAAGGCTTGTTGGGCAAGGCGCAGAAGTCCTTGTCCAACATGGCGGAGAGGGCAGGCGGCACGGTGGCCAGCGGCGTTGGGGGCAATGTGGGCGCGATGATGCAGATCGCCTCCATCAGCAAGGACCGTTGGGTCGCGTTCTTCGGGCTGCTGACGCTGGGCTGCTTACTCATGGCGGCATCCTGGTGGATGTTGCCCCTTATGGTGCTGGCGCCGCACAAGTTCGCTGGGCTGTTCACGACAGGATCTCTCTGCTTCATGGCGGGTATTTCGGTGCTGAAAGGCCCGGTTGCATTCGCAGCGCATTTGCTGTCTGGCAGCCGCTTCGCGGTCTCTGCAGGATACGTGGGCTCCATGGTCGCCACCATCTGGGCTTCGATGTGGTACAGATCAGCACCTTTGACCATGGTGTTTTCGGTGTTGCAGATCGTCGAGCTGCTGTGGTTGGCCGCCTCGTATATACCGGGCGGTTCCATGGCGCTTGGTTTCATGTGCGACGGGTTGTCTGTCGGGGTGAGGCGGCTGCTCTGTGCCGCGTGTTGCAGCAGCAAGCTTGGGAGTGCTCCTATATGACCCTGAGCCGTAGGTAGGCCGCTGGAGGTGTTCCCTTTTGAAGTCTTTGTGCGGAGAGCCGACTGCCTCTGCGAGATGTCGCTCCTGGGACAGCTCAATGCCATCCCAGCCCACGCCCTGCAGCTTGAGTCTATCTCGGGCCTGACGATTTGACGGGCAATCTTTGCCCCGCCGCTATTTCATCGATTGTGCATGATCGCGGTCCTGTCATTGGGTCATCGGTTGGGGATTGTGCCCAGGGGGGCAGACCTCGGCGTGCCACTTGCTCCAAGAAGGTGGCCAGGATGACGCCCACATGTGGTCTCACATTGCGTCGCGCCACGCAGTGGACCTCTCTTTTTTCCAATGGCTCCCGTACCAAATGGCCAGGCTGTGGAAGAAAGTGAGCATATGCATAGGAACCCCTCTCCCAGCCCTCCCCCTTTCCCTTCTCCCTCCAGTCGGACTCGTACATGCGTGCAGGAGCGTGTCTGGAGCTCCTCCGCTGTTTGGCCAGGGCGTCTGTTAGATAGGTTGCTGGCAGTTGCGCCCATTATTGGTCATTACTGCGCCGCGCCAGTGGGATCCGCTGGCATGCTGCCGCTCAGGGGCTTCTGCGCGAGCTCGAGCCGAAAAGCGCAGCGGCCTCGCCGCAGCGTCCTCCAGCTTCGGGCCGCCGTCGCCGCGGCTTCGGATGGCCGCCGCCGCCGCTGAAGTTCACCACTGATCTCCCCTCCACGATGCGGGTGGCATCCTCTTCGAGGAAGCGAGGCTGTCTTGTCCCTCTCGGAGGAAGGAGGCATATGACATCTGTATACGAAGGAGGCAGCTCCGCCATCGGAGGCCAGCGGAAGCTTGACGGAAGCCTGTGGAATTGAAAGTTTGCCACCCAGGCTATCACGGCGGGTGGCATCAGGGGTTCCAAGTGTTGTCCATTATTGGAGTCGTACCCCAGAGCGTTTGGTAATCAGTGAATATGGAAGTGTACCTGGCAATTGTTGACGTTTCGCGAATACCCACCAGCCCATCCAGAAACGGTGCTCTGAGGAATTGCCTCCATCAGGGAAGTGGGCAGCACGCAGAGGAAGCCATTATGAGACATCTTGGGATATCTGGAGCCATCTTGGAGGTCATCTTGGGCTCTCCCAGGCGCTCCTGGAGCCATCTTAATCAGTGCCCCCCCCCCCCCCAAGCGGCCAACATGTGGCTAAAACATTCGTGAAATCAATGATTTGGCATTCTCGCCGAGGCCTCTTGGAGCGTCTTGGGTGCCCCTGGGGGGTCTCGTGGGTCCTCTTGGGGGTCTCTTGGGGGCCTCCTGCTGGGGGCCTCTTGGGGGCCATCTTGGGGCCATCTTGGGACCTCTTGGGGCCTCCTGGGCGCTTCTTGGAGCCATCTTGGAGGAGATCGATCAAACAAGAGGGGAGCATTAATTAGCGTCCCCCCCAGGAGGCCAACATAGAGCCAAAACCTTAAAACAAGCAATGATGTTGGCTTCCTCGCCGAGGCCGTTTTGGCATTCTCGCCGAGGCCTCTTGGAGCATCTTGGGTGCCTCTGGGGAGTCTCTTGGGGCCTCTTGGGGGTCTCTTGGGGGCCTCCTGGGGGCCTCTTTGGGGGCCTCTTGGGGCCATCTTGGGACCTCTTGGGCCTTGGGGACATCTTGGAGGAGATCGATCAAACAAGAGGGGAGCATTAATTAGCTTCCCCCCCAGGAGGCCAACATGGGGCCACGACTCCAGTAAAACCAATGAATTTGGCTTCCTCGCCGAGGCCGTTTTGGCATCTTTGGTGCCTCTGGGGGGTCTCTTGGGGTCACTTGGGGGCCTCTTGGGGGCCTCTTGGAGCCATCTTGGGGCCATCTTAGGACCTCTCGGGGCCTCCTGGGCGCTTCTTGGGGCCATCTTGGAGGAGATCGATCACAGGAGGGGGGGTGTTCAATTAGCGCCCCCCCCCAGGAGGCCAAAATGGGGCCACGACCCTAGTAGAACCAATGATTTTGGCTTCCTCGCCGAGGCCGTTTTGGATGCTCCGACGACTCGCGGAACCCCCTGTCCAGGTCCATGGGTAGGGGGTAGGGGGAGGGGTAAACCCCTCCCCGAAGGGGAAGAAGGAGGGGTGGAAGAGGAAACTCTCTAAACCACCGACGCCCAGAGGGCTGATGGGATTTGCAATTTCTGGTGACAGTGGATGCGGATTTCGAGTCACCTGCTTACGCCACGGCGCCGACCCTTGGGGGACCTGGCGGCTGCTGTTTTCCTGGGGGCTGTAGAGTACGATGGCGCAGTGGGAAGATGCAGGTGGAGGAGGATAAAAGGATGAGGACAACGGGCATGACGACTGGGAGGAGGTGAACGGAAGCAAGGAAAGGGGGAGGCGGTTGCCGTTTTCGGCGCTCGCACGGGGCAGGTCAGCGACAGCAACTTCAAGCTATTGCGAGACTACTTTGCGAAAGAAGAATCGCATGCAACTGCGCGTAGCTCGAGTGAATCTGAAACTAAACTGAGCACGTCACAAGACATCACCACTGAAACATGAGTCTGAAGCGTTGAATTCGGAGCACTGGCCCATGCAGCGTAGCACGGCTCCAGGGAGCTGCGCGACGTTCTAGGCTCGAGGGCTAAATGCGTAGAAGGTTTTTGCGAGATCGTTTGGGTTCTAAGGCCTCCTCGGAGCATCGTGGGGCCTCCCAGGGCCCAGGGTTTCTTCGGGGCCTCTTGGGCGCACCTTGGGGGCATCTTGTGGCGTCTTCGAGGCCTCTTCGGTCGTCGTGGAGTCCTCGTGGGCCGGCTTGTTCTTGGGTGCCTCGTAGGCGTTATTTGGCCTGTCTGGGGATCCAGAAGCCCGAGCACTCGAGAACGTGTACGCATTTTCACGTTTAAAGGAAATCAGCGGCATTCGCGTTTGGATGACCTCTTGCAGCCTGGTTGGGGGCATCTTGGGGGCTTCTGGCACGCCAGACTCTAAAGGGAGCTGGGGCAAAGGCGAGAGATAACAAGCGTTTGTCCGCGGCCGTTTGTACTCAAGCGGCCGGCCGCCAACATATGATTGCGCCTCATCGCGAGGCACACTACTTGCCATTGAGACCGAAAAAATCTTCGCTTGACATGGCCCATCGCTCCCGCGACGATCTGCTACTTCTGGGACTATCGTTACTACGGTACATCAGAGTTGGATCTGGGCTTCGCCTTAGGCGAAGCTGATGGTAGGGCCTCCCAACCCCTTTCAAACTTGGTAGCGGAGCTGGCCTATGGTGGTCAGCTCTTGCTCTGCTCCTCACCATCCACGGCATTATCGGGCGGATTACTGACATGGTGGAACATCAGGATGCAGTGGGTTTGCGCGGAGGAATGTATATATCTACGCACAACCGCAAGGACATTTGCAGTGCTACCTCCGTTTTCGCAGAACATGAGTCCTACTTCCCTGCGCTACCACACTCCTGAAGTACACCCTCCTACTCCAACTGGATTTGTCCGACGCCCCCCAGCCACGAATGTCCGACCACGACCTACGGGGCCACTGGATTGGCATTACCATATTTGGCCTCCTGTGGGTCGCTATCGGGTGTGTTGTGGGACACATGCAGCGTGGTGGAGACGACGCAAGGGACCCTGCCGGTCAGGTACCTTTTTCCGCGAATTCGTTCGAGAGGTACACGCTTGGATCAACGTGACCACAGGCACCGTGACCCTCTCCCAACAGGCTGCGGCACTACAGCGCGGTCTGGGAGGGCTCGCACGGACCGTAGCCATGAGAGTACCCCCCTCAGTCATCAATTTCGGCGTTAGTATTGGTAGCCGCCACACCAATGGCGTCACCTACATCATGTTCCTCCTCAGCACGAAGTTTGGATTCGGGAGCGGCATCATCGGCGTTCGAGTCCATGCAGGGGAACGGGTCGACCAGACGTTAGCACGCTTCGAGATAGCCCAGCGCGAGGCTGAGACCGCAGGCTGTAGCACCCCCAACTTCCAAATCCTAACAGTCATCCTGTTCAGGGCTCTGGGAGTGGGGACGTCGCATGTGCAACAACTACCACAACCACTCAACCACCAAATGCCGAGGAACCAGCAACAATGTGATGCCCCACTGGAACGCAGTTGGTCATATGCTCAGATTGCCGAGCGAACTCATGGCAACAGTAGTGATATCCTTATCCACGGTCACCGCACCGAAACTTTTTATACTGAGACTAATGCAGGGCAGCCTGCTACAAACGTCCTGGAACGATGATCCACAACCAACGGAAACCGCCACCTTTTTAGCCCAACAGGGTGGCCAGCCTACGGGGTCGCACGACTCCTGGGCTCGATATCAGGGACCGTCGACAACGGCGGCCCCTACACGAGCCACTACCCTTGTAGGCTCAGCGGGGCAACCCGCCGAGTCGGACTTCGACTCCGGAACCGATGCCGACACGTCATCAGATGACGAAGCTGCCGCCCTATATTATTCCGACATGCCTACGTATCTTACGGAAGAACAACCGGTGCAATGGCTTTTCCGAGGGCACCAGAAACATAAACGCCGCTGGAGACGTTCTATGCAGAAACCAGTTCGTAAGGTACGACGTCCTATCCGACGGGCGCTCAGAGTGATGGGCAAGGGTCGAAGCATGGGTAAAGGCAGACGACGGCGACTGCATGGTAGAGGTACGTTGGCATTCTTGGCATCCCTTACTAGGCCACAATACGAAGAACTTCTCATGGGGGCAGGTAGAGGCCGCGCGCGCGCCTCGGGAAAGGGCAAGGGAAGTCGGGGTAACCCGAAGGATGCCAACGGCAGAACCATGGAATGTCACATTTGCCATCGCGCACGACATTTCCGTCGCGAATGCTCCCGCGGCGATGGGGGGGGGGGCAGCGTCGATACATTTGGTTCAAACCGATTCGGACATGCAGCATGTCGGTTGGTAGACGCTGCCAGCCGAACCCGCGGACACCCCGACTGCCGCCGTCCATTTCACGGCCGCCAGGCATCTAAGTGCCAGCATGTCCCTCGAGAGAAATGCCGACGAACGCTTCGAGGAGATCTACGTTGGCCATGATGAGATCAGCCTGGCGGACTGGTTGGGCATGCCCATCGCGGGGCAATCGGCGCAGATCGAGTTCGTCGAGGATTTCCGCGCGCCCGCCGATGTAGACCGCGACATGTCGGGGGGGCCCGCGGACTCCGAAGCCGCAGTTCCAGCGACAGAGGAGGAGATTTACTTGGCGCTCCATTCGCAGGTCGCTGGCAATCCGATAGACAGAAAGTCATGCGACGACGACCCCTCCGCGGGGAAACCCGCGAAATGCCGGCGATCCCCCCGAGCGAATCCAACGAACTCAGGCGCGACGAGGACTATCACATCACGTTCGTGGCACATGGCCGGTCTACGAGCCGCCCGGTTTGGAGGCGGGCGGTTCGCGCGCATGATGACGAAGACGAATGGGAAGTTGAGAGTCATCGCCCGCGGCGTCGCGGTCGGAGTCGCTCGCGCGGGCACTCGCGCGCTCGCTCTAGTGGCGCGCAGCTTGCCCGCACCCTCCCGACGCGAGGATCCCGAGGACTCCGCCGAGGAGGGGGCGCTCGCGGGGGAACCCGCCTCAGATCGAGGATCGGCCAGTCGAGCCGGAAGCACGAGGCGCGCAGCGCCTTGTCAGTTATGAAGATCACGGGCTGGCTCGCCAGTATATTCACCCAAACGCCATGCAGCGCTGTCTCGATCAAGGCTGGGCTG